TTAAGGGCCTCTTTGCTTTTAGCAAGCAAGGTTATTCCTCTAAGACACCAGCAAAGATAGTCCCTGTTCAATGTTCCCTTCTGAATCCAGCTTGTATTTCTGGCAGATCCTCTTTGACAGACTGTCCCAGTATTTTTAGATCACCTTCAGTATAATTATACTTGCATGTAAAATTAATAATATTGTTCAATCACTTTTACATACTGTTGGATCATCTTTGCTTGGAATGGGCACAAATATGTATGTTTCTCTTCCCATCAGTTCTTCAGAGAGTTGTCTTCCAAATTTCTTTTCACGGCAGAATGAACACGTCCAGCATCGCATCTCTTTTTTGAAACATATCAGGTGGTATTCTGACGATTCCTGGAAGCTAGTTCTTCATCAATGCCTCCAGTTCGTCGTGGACTTCTTCCTCCGTTTTCATCAGTTCTAGATAGCGTATGCTATCTCCTTAAGTGATTCAACATTGACTAATTCTCTTTGGTAAAGTGACTGCATTCCTTTCATATTTTCTTGATGCTTCCTACATTTTTAAATATTTTGCCCATAGAATCCTTCAATCTTGAACCTCAAGGCTTGAATTTTTCTTCAGTTCTTTCAGATTAAGATATACTAAACATGTTCTTCCACTACGGTTTTCTAACTTCAGGTCATTATAAAACATAATTTAATATTCTCAAGCTGGCCTTTAAACCCTTCTGTTCAGCTCTTTTTCTTCCATTCACTTCAGCTATACTACAATCAATGGCAAGTTTCAGAATATCTTCTAACATAATTTTGGTTTTTCATTCTTGTCCTTTTTAATAGTAAATGTGTCCATAAAAGTTACAGCACTTCTTTTTTTATCTCGGTTTGGTTTTACCTTACATAAAAAAATGTTTAAAAGACTTGTATTCCTTGATTTTTGCTGGTTGTTTAATAGGTGTCAATTATGACTTACAGAGATGTAAACCATATTATTTTTCAATCACTTCATATATATGTGAAATCTGGACAATGAATGAGGAAATCTGGAAGAGAATTGCTGCATTTGAATTATGGAATTGGCAAAAAGTATTAAAAAGGCCATGGGCTGCAAGAAGAATGAGGTAGTTAGTTTATTGTGCCAACCTGGCCGATAAACACATGTAGGATTAATTGAAGGCCGGAGAGATAAAAATCTCAGTGAGCCTTGCCTTTCTTGTCTCTTGCTCTTTGATCATCAGATCAGTGTGAGGCTGCCTTGCTTGTTCTGTTCCTCAATTTGCAAGCTACACTACCTGTGGGACACCTAACCCGTGGACTGTGTCGCTGTAATTTGAGGTTCCTTCAAGTCCTGCTTTGCCACACCATTGGAATTTGCATATCTTGAGCTGGGGACTGTTGGACCTTGTCATCTGGCTGACTGTTGGTGACCTGCCTTGCTGTTTGCTGCCTGTGCCCGCATAGCCTGAATTGCTCTACAGAAGACTACCCAGTGGCCCTCAAGACTTGAAGGGCTGCAAATGTCTCACGGGAGTGATTTGCACTAAGCCATTTGTGCTGCTTTATAATATAAGTAATTGTTTATTTCTTATGTTATATATCTATCTGTATAAATATATATAAAATTATTAGCATTCTGGTTTTATTTCTCTAGAGAACCCTGTGTAATACAAAGAACAAACAACTTTATCTTGGAGGAAGGATGGTCATGTTCCTATAAACAAGAAATGAGAAACCTTATCGCATGTATTTTGGACACATTATCAGCAGAGGTCAATCCCTTGAGAAGGACATCATCCTTGGTAAAATGCA